CTCCTGCTGGCCAGCTGGTCTTTGGGTCTCTGATGTGCATGTGCAAGGAGCGGGGTGCATCCACGGGGAGCAGGGTGCATGCACGGGGAGAGGGTGCACTGCATTTTGGGGGTGTGCATGTGTGCGTCTGCTTTGAGCACTTGGTGCCAAAAAGGTTAGCCATCACTGACCTAGCTACTATTGAGAGCATTGTTGACTACAACAGGTAGTCCTCGACTTACAAAAGTTCACTTAAGTGACCGTTCAAACTTACAACGGCACTGGAAGAAGTGACATGACCGTTTTTCACACTTACAGCCGTTACAGCCTCCCCATGGTCACGTGATCAAAATTCAGAGGCTTGGTAACTGACGCATATTTATGATGGTTGCAGTGTCCCTGGCCATGCGATAATCTTTTGTGAATATCTGACAAGCAAAGTCAGTGGGGAAGCCAGATTCATTTAACTATCATATTACTTACTTAACAACTGCAGTGATTCTCTTAACAACGGTTGCAAGAAAGGTCGTAAAACGGGGCAAAATTTACTTAACTGATTTGCTTAGCAACAGAAATCTGGAACTCAACTGTAGTCGTAAGTCGAGGACTACCTGTATTTGCTTCCAAGATAGCAAAAACAAAGTATTGGGCAACATCTTCCCCCACACCCAATCCCCACATTGTTTGCACAACTCCTAGTGTTTATTATTCAAAGGTATACAATGTCTAAATATGGAGGTTCTGTTTAGCGACCTTGAAATAATTGATATTAACCGTTTGTATGAATACTAGAGCAGCCCCCCCATAAATTGGATGAAAAGGCTTCCTAATCCAGGTCCAGAAAGACTGAAAACTAGACTATGAATGTGGATTTATCTACTTATATACAGTAACCATCATCACTTCTTATGGCAGAGTATGTTGTAAATAATGTATGTGCTCCTTTAAATAGTTACACTTCTTGGGAACTCTAGGGTGCCTCTCTCTTCAGTTTGCGGCATGCAATCAGCTGCTGTACAAAATTCTTCTTTGTTTTACAATTTCGGTTCAGAAATTGTTATGCAGTTTAGAGTTAAGATGCTAAGGGATGTGTCATTTTGCATGTGCCCACTTCTGAGAGTCCAACACACATATTTGATTACTGCCAATATGGACTCCATTTCAAGGAAGGGCAAAAGCTGCAAAACTCGTTTCTGATCAACTGTATACAATTGGGACATGCTGGAGATAAAGCTGATGCTTGTAGAATAACAGCAACTCCCTGTTCAAAGGAAATCTATTCCCAGTTAATAGATCCCTGCAGGAAAATAACACAGGGAAGTTTGGCAAATTTCATGTCTTGCCAACGGGCTTCTTGGAGGCATCTGGCAAGTCATTTTGGAAACAGGATGCAAGACATCCTGTTTACAGATCGAGTAGATGTTCTTTGTATGTTGAATACATTTTAACTTGGCAGACCTTTTGGAATCCTTTAAACCAATTTTCCCCAATCTGGTGCCCTTCAGATGTGCTCGAAAACAAATCCAACATCCCCATATGTAATTGGAATTATTGTCCAATATATCTAGAGGGAATTGCTTTTAAAGTTGTGAAGAATGGATCCTATATTTCATTCTGGAATGCCAACTACTGATGGGAGAGGAAAAAAATTAATCGTTACCAAAAGCAGGACCTCATATTTGATCCATTTAAGTGAAGTGTTTACCCTTACAGCTTTTCCTCAGGATATCTAACCCACATGGAACCTCCCTATGGAAGAGTAGTCCACCTCATAATGCTACAAAATAAGGAGTAAAGAAAGGCTATAAAGATTTGCAGCATAAAATAGAAACGCCTATTTATCTTTTCCTAATTTTCAGGGTGTCCGTCCCTTCTTCCCCATACTAACAGTTTGCTCAAGTTTTTCTATTAGGCTATGCTAAGAAGTTACACAACTTCAATTAATCGGATTCAGAACTGCAGCCTCCGCTTGTTGGGAAAATTCTGGAAAAAGGATGAAATGATACAAGATTGAAAAAATTATTCCCCCATCTCAGCCAACTCAATGGGAATTGGGAATTTGACAAAGGAGTTCTGTCTTTGCGGATTGTGCGTGCTGACTCCAGGCAATGAAAGACACAGGCTGGGCATTGTGGGTGCCCAAAATCTTCTTGGCATAGCTGTAGTGTGGGCTGAGGTTGGCACTACAGTGAAAATATATGCACATGCACGTACTCTCACGTATGTCAGCAGACTTCAATGCAAAGTCTCCAGAACATAGCTGGATTCGTATAACATGCTTAATCTGAGTCCTGAGTTTACTCATTTTCAGGATTCACACTATTTATTGAATTTAAACTGAACCAAAAAGCTAGAATTCTGACAAAACACTAAGCTGCTAAAACGTTACACAAGGTTAAAACCAACCAAGCTCAGCATAGTGTGTCAGTACTGCCGCCCCGCTTTTTTTGACCAATTAAGCACTTTCTACTTTTAAATAGCTAGAATCTAGGTAATGAGAACTCTCTCCTATTTGCACCAATAGAGTTAGCTTGTGACATTAATTTACATATTAATAAGATGTATTTCTGGGCCAAATCAATCCAAAGGTTTGGAGGATTCAATTAATCTCCAAGAGTGCACAACTTATCTTTTTTTGTTCAAACTACCATCTTCAGGTTCAAAATCTCTGCCTAAGAGATCATACTTCTTTTTTTTACCTTGCTTGATTCTATGCTGTTTTATTCAGGGACAATAGTTTTGCAGTTCCTTCATTAACTCATAGAACTAACTACATGCCTGTTACTTCGGTGGGGTGAAAAACTACCAGAAAAAAAATAAGGTGGGCAAGAGAAAGCTACTAATACACCTCCCGTTGAGGCTCTGTCCTCAGAAACAGCTGTTTAGTATTACTAGAATTTCCTTCATCTGATGGGACAGGGATAAAATACTTTCTTCTCTCTAATATCCAGATGTACTTATGCTTAAGCAATTTATTGTAATTTGGCCACATGTAGATTCTAGATATATATTACACTAAAACATAACACAATTGTGAGGTTTTGGTTTTTCAGACATAAGGTACAATTACAGTTTGTCAACCATAGCTGCCTTAGGGCTTAATACATTGTAAGGATCCATCCACTGTGGCTCAGGCAACTAATAAAGGTTAAAACTACTAGTGTTTTAGCACACCGTCTTTAATAATTTAATGTATTGTATGAAACCAGCCAAGTGAGCTTTATGCAATAAATTGTGGCTAAAAATATGGTTTAAGTTTATGAACCCAAGCCATGTGCTTAGCTTTAATTATGGATTTCAGTTCAGTACAATACTGACTACAGTTTGTGGGAGCTGAAGTCCAATACTTTAAGCCAGGGATTCTCAATTCATATTTGGGGGGTTGGGGTTGGGAATCCTATCTCAAACAGATAATTCACATCCTAAACTGTTTCCCACAGATTTGCCCCAGGTCCTTCACAGTTTTTCCACTGCTAACCTTGAAGAAAGATTAGGCCTGTGAAAGAAATAATGATTTTTGCTTTATTTCTTAGTTTTATATCCCGCTTATCCCCACGGAAGAACTCTTATATAAAAACATGGGTGGGGGGAGACAAGTATAAGTGTGTGTGTGTGTGTGTAAGTTGCATCTAAACTGTACTGAAGCAAAACCCCATTCCTAAGATGTCCGTAAGGGGTATACATAAGAGCACCAACGTGCCTACCGTCCCTGTCCTAATATCCCATTTTATTCATACCCAATTCATGTACTTATAATCATGTTCCTAATTATATCTGTTATCTAAAACATGCTTAAATAAATAAATAAACTGGCCAAGGACATAAACCCTGTTGCATGTATAACCGATCACTAGGACTGCAGGTCCAACGCCTAGTGTCTTTTGGAGAAATTTAAAAATATCAAGCAGTATATGAACTCTAGGTGCTCTATTATCACCCCATTCTCACATACATTTGTGTGCACGCACACACGCTAAACTCTTGAAGTCTCTTTCTATCCGAAATGGGCCAAAAGGGAAAGAGCGAGGGGGAAAAAAAGACAACCTCACTCTGCCCAGAGGTTTCCAAAAGGTACACAGGGAGGGGAGAGGCCTCCTTCCCAACCTAGTCCTGCTCCTTCCCCCCCCCCCCCCCCCCCCGCGTGGCTGGGTTTTCTCAGCACCAGCTCAATAAATAAATATTTCAGGCTCCTTCCCACTGGCGTTCCACAGCGGCGCCCTCCAGGTACGCTCGACCACAAGTCCCATCACCCGCAGCCCACGTCCCGCGCGTCTAGAAAGCCCGGGTTTGGGAGAAGCCGACGCGCGCCCTGCGACTCCCTCGCCTCGCGACCTTTAAGGGTCCTCTCGCCACGGCCCCGCCGAAAAGCAGCCTCCCCCGATGGCGGCGTCATCCAAAGCCAAGGCGCGGATGGCCTCCGCCGCAGTGGACCTGCAGGGCCGGTCTCCTTCGGCCTCTGCCGGCGGGACGGAAATTTTGGAAGGGCGGAAGAGGGCCGCTCCCACCTGCACCCCGAAGACCGGCTGACCTCCGGAGGAGACGCGAAGGGTCAGGTCCGGGCGCTCGCCTTACAATTCCACGAGGCGCCCGTGTCTGCGCGGCCGGGCGTCGTGTCCAGCCACTCCCGACCAGGCTTTCGAGGACGCCTCACGCCCCCACCCCACCCCAATCCGTCGACTGAAGCCGGTGGGCTCTCGGGTCTGGGGAGTCACGCCCGCTTGTGAGACAATAGACTGGCGGCGGCGGCGGCGCGACTGCAGCCCCTTCCACGCCCGCACACACACACACACACACAGGCGCGCCTTCCCAGCCGGCGCCCCGCAGCCGGTGTTTCCACCCGGGAAAGGGATGCAGCCGCCCTCCGGTCTTCCTCAACTTCGTCAAAGTCCGCGCTTGCCAACATCTACGGGCGGCTGCGGAAAAGCCGCCGGTGCGACCCTTCTTTATCCACGGTCCTCCGCCCGCGCCGCCATCGCCATCCCACGGCCCGGGACAGCCGCCCGGGGGCAGCGCTTACTCACCCAGGACCCCGGTGGCAGGTGGCGCGGCCGCCTCCCCATCCATCGCTCCTCCGCCTCGCTTGTTCTCCTGGACGCTCGCCGCCGGTCCTGCCGCCCCAGTCTCTGGCATCGTGGCTCCTGAGCTCAAGGTTGAGGGCTGCACCAGGAAAACAGCATCGCAGTGCGGCGTCGGGATGCGGGCGGCTCATCCGAACCAAGAAAGCAGCCGGGGCTGGTCTCACAGCCGCCAGGACGGGAGGGTGGCGAGCGAAGGACCGGAGCTGGGCTGAAGAGGCAGCCGGCGCGCCATCAGGGCCGGGCTGGAGCGACGGACGCCTGAAAGGGGGCTTCCTTGCTCGGCCCAGGTGAGCGGCACCTGCCCCGGATGGCCCCTCCTAACGCATCCAGCGCCCCAAAGCGCCTCGGAGCGAGCCAGCGTGCAGACGGAGGGACAAAGGAGGGGGGGAAAGCGAAGAGACGGCGAAGAGCCGTTTAATAATCTGGTTGGCCTGCGACTCCCGAGCGCCATCTGTCAATAGCGTGCCTGGGGTTGAATTGGGATCCCCTGGCAGAACTGTTAATACTTTCCCTGTGTGTTCTCCGCTGCACACGGACACAGTATCTGAGATAATTTCTCCTAATTATACATTGAATCTGACCCCTCGCGGTCCACACACTTCGCCCAGACTAACGTATTTAGTAATGGATATTTCGGGGTTTTAGCAGGAGTTGAAATAAAAGAACAGTCAAATGGCGGTAATAAATAAAGCAGCCTTTAGGAAGAGGAGGTTAAATTAGGACAGGGCCCACAATCAAAATGAAAACAGTAAATCCATGATGGCGAGCAACGCGATGAAATGTCAAATGACGACAAAGAAGATATTTTGTCAATCTGTTCCCATATCTGAGGAGTTCAGAGATTGGCTGCCTTTGAATAAGGATGTTCCACTTCCTATAAATAGCTGATAATAGACCTCTTGCCTGCTACAATACTGAACTTTTCATAGTTAAATGCCCTCTATTTGTGTCCGTCACATCTTGTGAGAACGAACCCCACATGTTACAGTTCACGAAGCTTGCATGATGGGGGTAATTGGGAGGTTTCTCTCTTTAAAAATGATGCTCCACATACTTCAGGGATCTACTAGATGCTTTTTTGAGTTTCCTATTTCTGTGGTGGGTTGTTGCTTTTCAGTAAAAGATTTTGAAAAAGTGGCTGGATCCACAAAAAAACAGGTTGAGGATGGTATAAAGCCTTTTAGTCCCAGTTTAGAATTAAAACTGGATTGAGTGGTCTATTCTTTCAGGAAATTATTTAATCTGTACCACACCTGTTAGCATGGTTCCTTCTAAACCCTTACATTTCATGTCCTCCATCCTTATTTCCCTGCCTTGTCTTGACTTCAAATAACTTCACATCCTAAAGGTCAAGTTGTTATTTCTAGACTCCTTCCAGAACAGGTGTAACTAGAGATAAACATTCATTTTGCTGATTTTTTTTTTTTAAATAGCCTTAAATATGAAGGAAGTAAAGTCACCAAAGGCTGACTGACTTTGAAATTGATTTTTGGGTGGATAGGAAACTAGACAACACTAATTCCTGGGAAAGAATGGGAAAATTCATCTGGTGTAGAGATAATTTCAAAAGCCACAGATATATGGAACTTGACTTCATAGAGTAGACGGTGTCAAGATCCAACTGATCTAAAACTTATATTAAAAAAGCTAAGCACAATTGAACCTAGATAATAGTTTGATGGAAGACCACCAGAAAATCTCTAGTCTAGGAAATTGCCAAAAACAATAGCAAACTAACTCTATACAGATAACAACTGAGCAAAAAAAAAATATGTTGCTAGACAAAAGTTGTTAAGTAACTGTAGAGATTCTCAGTCATCCCCATAGTTGTCCCAAAGGTGCTTTTTCAGGAGGCAACTGGACTTTTTTTCTCTTCTTTTGAAGACGTTTCACTTCTCATCCAAGAAGCTTCTTCAGCTCTGACAGGATAGTGGGGGATGGAGGGATTTATATTCCTTGCAGACAGCTGGTCATCTGCATCCCCATTCCGCACTATCCTGTCAGAGCTGAAGAAGGTTCTTGGATGAGAAGCGAAGTGCCTTCGAAAGAAAAAACAAGAAAGTCCAGCACCTTAAAAAAAAGCACCTTTTGGCGTTGTCAAGTGAGTTTTGCCCCATTTTACAATCTTTCTTCCCACAGTTGTTAAGTGCATCACTGCAGTTGTTAAGTTTGTAACACGGTTGTTAAGTGAATCTGGCTTCCCCACTGCTTGTCAGAAGGTCGCAAGAGGTGGCACCATGACTCTGGGACACTGCAACTGTCATAAATGTGAGTCAGTTGCCAAGGGTCTGAATTTTGATCTTGCGACCAGGGGGATGCTGCAATGGTCATAAGTGTGAAAAAAGGTCATAGGTCACTTTTTTTCAGTGCCATTGTAGCTGAACTGTCACTAACTGTTGTAAGTTGAGGACTACCTGCATTGCTGCCAAGAAAACTAAATGACCATGACTATGCAGTTAATCAGGAGTCAGGCAATCACTCAAAGAAGTGTTTATAGGTAGTCCTCGACTTACAACCAATGCCAGGACCAGAATTTCCGTTACTAAGTAAAATGATGCTAAGTGAATCGCACCCGATTTTATGACCTTTTTTTTGCAATGGTTATTAAGGCAATCACTGCAGTTGTTAAGTGAATCACGCAGTCATTAAGTGCATCCACTTTCCCCCACTGACTTTGCTTATCGGAAGATGGCGGGGAAGGTTGCAATGGTGATCACATTATCTTGTCATCCTAAATATTTGGTGGTACCAAGCCCCAAATTTTGATCATGTGACCGTGAGGGAAGCTATGATGGTCTTAAGTGCAAGGTCAGGTCCTAAGTCATTTTTTTCCTTGCTACTGTAACTTTGGTCACTGAATGATTGTAAGTTAAGGACTATCTGTACCATATGGAAATGGTTTTGACAATATATTGTATGAGACTTTGTGAGTTACAGTACATTGATGCTTAGAGCATCATGTTATGCTACTATATATTCTCTAATAAATGTCAAGGTAACACATATCTGTTTGTGATTTAAAAACACGTGGGGGAAGGTAAGGGGGGAGCCAAATGAAGACTGGTCTGCTATGATGCGATAGTATCATTCTGTTCGCTTAGCAACATAAATTTTGGCTCAATTGTGATCATAAGTCAAGGCAGGGCTACCTATATTTGTTATTATTCATGATTACCTTCTTGAGTTACTGAAAAAGTAGAGGTAGCCCTCGACTCACAAAAGTTCAAAGTTGTTGAACTATTCAAAGTTATAACAGCACTGAAAAAAGTGACTTTTGACTATTTTTTATACTTATTACCACTGCAACATCCCCATCAAAATTCAGTTTGGCAACCGATTCATATTTATGACGGTTGCAGTGTCCCGGGTCATATGATCGCCTTTTGTGACTTTCTGACAAGCAAAGTCAAGAGGAAGCCAGATTCACTTAACTGTGTCACTTAACAACTGAAGTAGTTCACTTAACAACTGTGGCAAGAAATGTCATAAAATGGTTTACCCATTTTCAATTGACAAATGTCTCACTTAGCAACAGAAATTTTGGGCACAACTGTGCTCATAAGTCAAGTACTACCTGCAATAAATGCAGAATAAACCCTAGGAAACAAATAAGTATTATAACCACATATATTTTGTATTTAATTCCACCGCCTACATACAGTGTATGCCTTTCTTTTGCACACAAAGAAGCTATCATTAGAAAGGCTGATATTTGGTACAGAACAATTACCAAACTTGTTGCATCCTTAGTTGGCCAGGGCGAGTTGGCTGTGGCAAGCTGTTCCATTCCGAGTACCTATATAATCAGTGATTACTAATCTTTGAGGATTAGAAGGAAAACTAACAAAATTTCAGCCATACTTATTTTAGTTTCAAACTTTACTCCAAAGATGCCAGTTGGAGAATTCTGGTTCCCATCATCACTTTTGTTACACATTCATTAGGTAGTTCTATAGGCCCCCACTATTTATTAAATATCTTTATGCAACATATGTCTTTAACATCTCCAGGCAGCTCTCAAAAATACATTTAAAACAGCAAAGAACGTTTACCTGAAATCCCAAAACATTATAGATTTCATAATGGGCATTTAATTCATCATAAACCAATAAAATGGCCCAAATGTTGCTGGGGGATTTGGGGAATTGAAATCCAAACATCTTAACATTGCCAAGTTTTAAAACACACCATTATAGTTAAATAATGGGCATGACTAGGCTAATCTTCCTGTTAAGAGTCATTGTGGGCATTTTTTGAAGTAATGCTCTCAAGAACCACCATATTTAGGCCTGATTCAAAAACTGTGACACATATGCCATTTGATTTTGGCTTTGCATGGCCAGTCATAGATTATTTGATAACCGTGATTAAACAAACCATGCAATAGCAGAACACATAAGTCCTGCTCCTTCACAAGTGATTAGAAAAGCTACCAAAATAGATGGTGAGGTAAAAGATCTAGCTTCTTCTTTGGTAATGACATTGCATTAATAAAATAAAGGGTATTTGAGAGACGGCAACCTGTCTGCAAAACCACCAGCATTTGAGCAGCTGTGGGCCTGTCCCTTTAAGACCTCCCTAGCCAGCATTGTAACTGATGGCTATAAAAGCTGAACAGAAGCAGCTGGGTGTGGTGGTTTTGGAGTGGGAGGGAGGGTGGTTTGGTTATGGGAATGAAGCCTGAAGCAGCCTAAGGCAAATAGATGGTTCTCTAGCAGTAGGATTCAAAAGGAATACAGGTAGCCCTTGACTTACAACAACAATTGAGCCCAACATCTCTGTTGGTAAGTGAGACAGTTATGTGGATTTTGCCCCATTTTTTACCTTTCTTGCCACAGTTGTTAAGTGAATCACTGCAACTGTTTAGTCACATGGTTATCAAGTGAATCTGGCTTCCCTATTGGCTTTGCTTGTCAGAAGGTTGGCAAAAAATGATCACATGACCCTGAGACATTGCAACCATCATAAATACATGCCAGCTGCCAATCATGAATTTTGATCATGTGACCATGGGGTTGTTGCAACAGTCCTAAGTGTGAAAAATGGTCATAAAGACACTTTTTTTCAGTGCCATTGTAACTTTGTTCACTAAATGAACTGTTGTAAATCAGGGACTATCTGTAGTAATTATTGAGTCTGTCATCTGCACCTCTGTAACTGTCTGGTTTGGTTCTGCAACCCAACAAGACAGACACAGACTTCAACGGATAATTAGAACTGCAGAAAAAAACAATTCAACCTGCCTTCAATAGAGGACCTGTATAATGCTCGAGTCAAAAAGAGGGCTGTGAAAATATTTACAGGCCCCTCACATCCCAGACATAAACAGTTTCAACTCCTATGCTCAAAATGAAGCTATAGAGCACTGCACACCAGAAAAACCAGAT